CCTGGAATCAAGGTTGACAAGGGCACTGTTGAGCTTGCCGGAACCAATGGTGAGACCACAACCCAGGGTCTAGATGGGCTCGCCCAGCGTTGCCAAAAGTACTATGAAGCTGGTGCCAGGTTCGCAAAGTGGCGTGCTGTGCTCAAGATTGGTCCCAATGAGCCATCTCAGTTGTCCATTAACGAAAACGCTAATGGTTTGGCTCGGTATGCTATCATTTGCCAGGAGAATGGCCTGGTCCCTATCGTTGAGCCAGAGATCCTGGTTGATGGACCCCATGACATCGAGAAGTGTGCTGATGTGACTGAGCGTGTTCTTGCTGCATGCTACAAGGCTCTTAATGACCACCACGTGCTGCTTGAAGGAACTCTCTTGAAGCCCAACATGGTTACTCCAGGATCTGATGCCAAGAAGGCTTCACCCGAACTGATTGCTGAGTACACAGTCCGTGCTTTGTTGCGCACTACCCCTGCAGCTGTCCCTGCTGTGGTGTTCTTGTCTGGTGGACAGAGTGAGGAGGAGGCTACCCTCAACCTTAATGCCATGAACAAGCTCAAGGGGAAGAAGCCATGGACTCTTTCCTTTTCATTCGGAAGGGCTCTTCAGCAGAGCACACTTAAAGCCTGGGCAGGAAAGGTGGAAAACATTGGAAAGGCACAGGCTGCTCTCCTCACAAGGGCCAAGGCCAACTCGGAGGCTACCCTCGGAACATACAAGGGTGATGCAAAGCTTGGTGAAGGTGCCGCTGAGAGTCTTCATGTTAAGGATTACAAGTACTGAAGAAATTTACGGTTCTTGCTTCTCTTGTTTTGTTTTTGGAAAACTATTTTGCGGTATGTGTATGACTCTTGTCATTCTCGGGCGTATAGTGTTTAGGGATTTTTCAAATTTCTGTTCTTGCTCTCGGTTTTTAGGATGTTGGTAGAATAAGAAGCTTGAGGACGATTGGCATATGTTGAGTTTGATAAATGTTTTCACTTTCCTCTTCAAAGGAACCGTTTATGTATTTTTTAAATTTCCTGAATGAAGATCAGGATTCTATTTTCAAAATCCAATTTCTAGCTATTTGACATACTTCCGAGTATTAAGTCTTTATCTTGCTCGCATTGGTATCCTTCCAAACTTATATTTTGTATAACCAATCAGTAATCCAATCCAGTACGTGAAAAGAAACTCTCATGATTAAATTGTTTGATGTAATATTTGATGGGTTAAAAGAAGTTTTAGCATATTTGACCATTTAAAGTTCTGGTTGAGATTGGACATAAAAACAAAATTTCTGGTTCAAGGTTGGACTGACCCGGGCTCCGGTTTGTCTGCAGGCTTGAACATTGGCCAATCTGTAAAAAGCACCCAAAAACCAACCTTAGCTTGAAGACAACTGAATAATCCAGAAGACCCATAAAGCCCTTCACTACACTTAAAAATCAAGAAAGAAGAGAAGGTTAAAAAAAAACAAAAGAGGGTTGGAATTGGTTGAAAAATTCTCCATCCCTCACTAACAAACAAGCCCATAGCCATAATGCATTTTGCTGGACCAGGATAAAAAAACTAATGAATTGAGCTGGGCCAATTGGGTCACATCCTTCTCTAAAAATAACAAAAAGTGCAGATATATCAGAATCAGCGAGTCATTCTATAACGAGGGCTTTAGATGAAATCCTATATCTTAATCGTTTGATCAAATTAAACACTTTGATCCAACAACTTACCAATTTAATTCAACGGTTATGAGATAGGATCTTATCTCATCTAAGGAGATAAGGCCCTCACTATAAAAATATTGAAGACTAGACTTGCAGAGCCTCTTCTGACCAAAAAAGAAAAAGAAAAAAGACTTGCAGAGCCTCCTTTTAATTTTATTTAATTTAAAAATTTCTTAAAAAAGGAAGGCAGATAAGGGGCTCGTCTTTCTGTAGTTACTATAATATATAATACCAATGGTAGGTTTAATTGTCATGTAAGTGTAAAGATAGTTAAAAAGCAGTCAGGAAGCATGGCAAAGATTTCCCAATTTGGGGTAAGCCAGAAGCTGAAAAAGCAGAGCAGAAACACAACAGTCATATTTATTTTTGCTTTTTCCCTTAGTGTTTTATTAGCTCAGTAAGTGGTCACATCAAACAAGCATGAGCAAGGCAAAGCAAAGCAAGCATCCCCAAAAAAAGCTGGTCTGCTTAAACTCCAGAGTTCTAAAATTGTCATGTAATTTCGTTTCCCTTTGACTGCTGCTGCTGCTTGGGTTGGAGAGAGTGGAGATTTTTCTTCGAAGTAGTAAAAAGAGAGATATAAAAAAATGGTGGTACTTGCAGAAAACTGTGACAATGACTGGCAATATGTCTATGTCTCCTCCCTTGTTTGGTTCCCCCGGTGGGAAGCTTCTTTACTCTTTCCTATGTACGGTCATGCTCATGAGTCTCTGTCTAAGAGTGGTGGTATTTGTACACTCACACTGCGCTGTGTATTTGAGTGTCGTATGACCCTTTTTCTCTGTTTGGATCATAATGGGCTCTCTGCACAAACGCAAGATTAAAGCTTCAATTGGATTGTGAAAAGCCCTTTTCCTAATTTTTTTTTTAAAAAAAAAAAACTGATATTGGCAATCTCAAAAATGTCATCATGTGCCGAAAAGGGTTGGTTTTTGTGTGTGTGTGTGGATAAGGAAGGATTGGTTGAGTTAGTAAGGATCATTCTCTTTGCTATCAATACCTAGGTTTAAGTCTCGCTGTCGACAATTTCTCTTGGTAAGTAATATGTAAAAATCAAAAAATGGGCTAAGCTCTCTTCTGTAAGTCCTCAAAGAGACCTTGGTATACCTTGACCTTAGGATGGGGTAGCCTCCCCCACCCCCCAAAACTTTTTTTCATAAAAAAAAAGAAAAGAAAAAGAAATGTCATCATACACTATTCCCTTGTAATAACATAAGAAATTATATTCAGAGAAGTGCATGTCGTCTTTTTCGGAGTACAAATAACAGTTACGTTACAAAGTTGGAAAAGGATCAAAGTCCTTCACTATCTTCTTTTTTTTTTTTTGGTGAATATCAATTAATGCCAAGCTTTATTTATTGGTGAGAGGACAAGAATCTTGGGTTTCCTAGCAAGCAAGGAACAAGAAGAGAGAAAAAAAAAGTTATCAAATTGAGTTAGACACAAGCACATAATCATTGATGTACTTATGTATAATACGAAATCAATTAATTCCTAAAACATAATATTAAATAATTATATCGCAAAAACATTTCTGCCTTTGCAGAATGATATGTTGTTGATCTGCTGATAATAATTTCTCTCTTTTTCTTATGTCTCTCTCACCCTTTCATTTAATACTCAATGCATATCAATCAATACTTTGAGTGCTTTTAATTGCAGAACATGACATTTTCCTGGTGAGGAGGAGGCTTCGTACATTTGCTTTGCTAAGCTGCACTGCACATATGCCTGCTTCCAATATTGTCAGTTTTCTATAGCTGTACCAGCCATGCCATGTCCAGACCAGAAGGCAACTTCCAAAGTAGCAAACGAATTTGCTTTCTTTTTCTTTTCTTTTTTATTTGGCAATCTCACATTTCTTCTACTCTATGTCTTGTGCCATATAGAGGAAAAATTTATGTGACACAATGCATCAAGCAAATATATATATTTCACCATATATATTGTTGATGCGAAAAAGTGGTTCGGCACTTTTTAGGCCTAACTTAGTGATGTCTGGGCCTCAGAGGAGCTCTCAATCTACAAGATAACAATACGCTCGGTAAGACCTAGGGCACCGGTGTAATACCAGCCAAAGGCTCTCTGATGCTTGAGTAAGTACGGATTTAGTAAATAATATGGATAGAGCGATGGCCTTGGGAGGTGTGCATATTGTGTAGAATTTTGGGATTTGTGCTCATTTTTATAGGCCTTGGGAGGTGTGCATATTGTGTAGAATTTTAATGTGGGATTGTTTGACATTCACTGTGGGTGTTCCACGTGACCAAAGGCTGAATTTGCCCTAATGACGCCTTCGGTAGCTATGGGTGCCAAGGGCTACCTTGTTGTTGCCTCCGTTTGTCCACGTGTCGTGTCTTTATTGGTCGTTGAGTTTGGTATAAACATATATAAATAAAACAGCAGCAATATTCTTCAATTATTGTCTGAGGCAAGTAACTTTTTTTTAATGATGGAGGGATTTTAATATATATATTGTTAATGTTAGTAAAGAGTTGGACAAATCTAGCTAGCTAGGTTGAATTGATAAGTAAGCTAATTGCATACGGTTAATTGGAACTTAAATTAAGCTCAACCAAAGCACCATAGTGAACTGTTTAACCACGAGATGCTATGCATAAGGAGATAGATTATTTACTTCATTAGTTTGTAACCTCTTTTTAAAACTACAAATAATCCTTTCATTTTAAGACAAAAATCATCACTTCCCCCAACCCGAGTAGCCAAAAAGGCAAGAAATTAATTATCGTCTTAATATTTTGTTATAAGGTTTTAAGCTGGAACGACCATGTCACTTCCGAAGAAAAGATATAAACGTACAATATTATGGTACTAGCATGAAAGGAGTTGGTATTAACACTTCAAAATAGTCATACTGGGGAGTGAGTTGGTATTGAGGAAAGTTGAAATGATACGAGTGCTAAAGAACTATTTTGGAGTTCTAATCAAATGGAGATTTAAATAAATAAAAACCCACAACAACAAAAGAAGACATTTTCATGATAAAGGAATTAAATCTTTGCATAAAAGAGACTAGGATGATGATAACAAAACACTAGCTAGCAACACTGTAACCTCTCCCTTCCCCAATAAAATTCCAGAAAGAAAATAAAATGCTTTATTCCCCTCTAAAATTTTCATGTCTTTAGTCCCATTAAAACATCACTCAGACCCTATACATAAATAATCCTCATCAGTTAGCTCCTTGCTTACAATATTGTAAGCCCCACCTCACATGAGAGAGAGAGAGAGAGAGAGAGGGGTATATTTTCAAATTTCTGAAACCCCATAATCAAAGTCAAACCTCTCCTTTGAAAACACACACTGCTAGTTAAAGCAACTGAACAAGTTGTCTTCTGCCTTTCTGCTAGCTGATCTACCACATGACCTCACTGGTTTTGGCTTCCCTTGCTGAGCTTCAGTCCATAGTTTTCCCACAAGTTCTCTCCTTCACTCATCAAGAAGGGAAAACAATTATCCTGCACTGCATTTCCCACATTTGCATTGCCACAAGGAGAATTATTAGACCCATCATTAGTACCACCTTGCTCATGGTCATTCATTTCAGCACAATACCCTCCTTGACTACTATACAATGAGGAACAAGACTCATTGTTCTGAAAGTAACAAGCTGAGCTTTTTGAATTCACATTCTCCTTGCGCTTCTTATTCAACAACTCCCTTGCACTACTAGTGTTATGAACAATTTGATCATGATCAGAACTAGTCTGATGATGATGATGATGATGATGATGATGCTGATCATGATCATGATCAGGTGATGGAGAACTATAGTTAGCCTTTGCTTGATCTGTTGATGATGATCCTCCTGTTAGCTTGTGCAATGCCTCCATCAAAGCCTTGTCCCTTGCTTCAATCCAAGCCCTCTCTTTGGCCCAAAACTTGTGCTCTTTTTCAACCCTCTCCACTTCTTGCTTTCTCCACTCCTCCTCTCTCACCATCCTCTCCCTCTCCTTTTGCTCAAGAGTTCTCATTAACCTCTCCAGCCACTCCTCTTGTTTCTCCATCAGCTTCCTCATTTGTGCATCAATGAACTCTTTTATCTTCACCTTCCATCCCCTCCCACCTCTTCTCTTCCTCATCGTCTTGATGTCCGGAGAGTCATCATCCATTGCGGCCGCGCTGACATCATTGTTGTCCTGATCTTCCGATGAGGAGGTTTCGAACTCGGAGGAATTCGAGAGGCTTAGGCTGTCACAGTGCTTTTGATCAGTTGAGTGATGATAGGGAGTAGTGATCTCTTGATTGGCTTGAGCGTTGATCGTTGTTTGGTAACGAAGATTGTTGTTATTACTGTTATTACCAATGAAATGGGCTTCTGGGAGTGATGTTGATACTACGGAATTGGTGGTTTCTCCATAGAGAGCTTCAAGCTGTCGAAAGAAGCGATAATTCTTACCATCTTGTCTTCCAGCCTTCCCTTCCTTTGTCTTCTTGTAATACTTGTACAAGTTTTCAAATTTCTCTCTACATTTTTTCCCACTTCTTTGATACCCATGTTCCTCACACATGATCCTGCACCAAATTAATTACTTAATCAACATGAGGAAGACAATAAAAAAAAAAACCCCCACAAGAAATTCAATACTTGATAATAGTAAGGAACCCTAAATTGAATTCCAAAATGGACTAGTCTAAAAACACAAAAAAAAGTTGTGGCCATGTGAATTAATTCATGGTCCTTTGCTTTCCTAATGCTGATGTTCTAAGAATTCCATGTGGTTTCCTTTTGCCGAGCAACTACAGTACTTATTCCAGACAAAAGCATATGACCATTCAAATTTCTGAACAAATATAATGGTTAGTCTTATGTGGGGGGAAGTACGTTTCTTGTAAATCATGTCTTTTCCATATCAGATAAAAAGCCAGCCGATTCATTGTAGCCAAGCATGGAAGAGGCCACCCATTATTTGGGTAAAAACAAAAACAAATAAAAACTTGCATTTAAAAGAAGGGTCACGTTTTGAAAATAGCAAAGGTCTAGAAAGAAAAGAAAAAACAAGTGATTAAGTAACCATTTTGCACAACACGAAAGCCATCATCAGATCTCGAAATGAAGTAATCAAAAGAAAAGAATAGCACCTGGGTTTCCAACTGAACTTCCTTGTTCAGTCATTTTCCAACTCCCAACAAGGAAAAAAGTTTGAATAAATAAATAAATTGCTTTCCAAAACAATTCTTTCACCGTCCAATTAAGAGAAACCACAAACCAAGAAACCAAGAACTAAAAAAGAAAAAAGGATGAGAAAATTATAGGGTAGGGCAGATAATATTTAGTACAAGTGTGTACGTATGTATATGTAAACGTACCTAGAGACCTCATCCCAGAGGGGACCCTTTTGGTTGGCCTCTTTGAACTTAAAATCAAGCCGGGATCGGATCTCTAGAAGTGTGAGAGTCTCCTGCCTCGGCCATCTCCCCGAACCTCCAATATCGCCGCCAGCTTCGGCCTCCATTAACCCACCACCACCACTGAGAGAAGCAGTAACAGTGGCACTATTAGCAGCAGCACCGCCGCCTGCAGCAGAATCTGGAGAGCGGAACTCGTGATGGTGGAGCCCACGAGGGTTGATGATATGATGATCATGCGGCTGAGGACGGCCCATCATCATCAGCTGCTCATAGTGATGGTGCTGCTGATGATGATGGGCAGGTGGAGCCGTGAGAGGCGGAACTCGGTGGCTCGGGAAGAGCTCCGTGGCGGCTTGTAAGGGGATAGAGGGAAAGTGGGCCCTATTTCCTCCGTTCATGAGCTGCCGGAGGTCTGACATGTTGTACTGGTCCTCCATTTCCATGGAGAAGTAAAGAAGCAATAGCAGAAGAATGGAGAAAGAGAAAACACAAGTTGGTTTAAGAGAAGGAGTGTTGAGAGAAAATGAAGTGAAGAAAAAAAAAGGGTGTGTTTTTTAGGAGAGAGAAAGAGAGAGGAGAGAGAGAGAGCGGCAGAGTCGGATCGTGTCGTTCACGAAAAGCTCGAATTTAAGCACAGGACAATGGTCCCATGTCTGTGTCAAAGTGTATGTGTGTGTTTATGTATCTATACGTCTAGTGACTCACTGCCCTTCTCTCTGTGTGTCCAGAGCGTGTTATTGGGAGTGTTTGGACACAGGGATAAGCAAAGTTGCAACTTGGACAAGGCTTTTCCCTTTGGATATGGGATTTTGAGAGGGAGTGTGCGGGTGTAGGAAGGGATGGGTGGGCGGACGAATCAATGATCAACACGTGTGGGATGGGAGTGGAGTGGCAAGAAGGCTGTGTCGTGCTGACGCGTGTACAGTGCATGGGATCCGATCGGGGACTTGTGACCAAATTGCCTGTTTACTGGCAAGTTTTCGGGCCTGCTGCCAACGGCAGAACGCCACGTCAGGCTTTTAACGCAGGCGGGTTTTTGTAGACAGAAGTACTGTATGAAGAAATAAACTGGGCCAAAACGGGGTGTTTTGCATGAACGGTGTGCCGTTTGCGGAAAACGGGAAAAAAAGGGTTGTCGTTTAGAGGGGGAGAATCGTTTTGGGAGATGGTTTAAGAAAAAGGTCAAAGATCACTTTGGGGATGGGGTGGTTTTTGAGAGATGCATATGGGCTGACCTGACCAGCGCACTTGAATCCAAATATATGCATCTCTCTGCCTCTTTTTGTATTTTTCATGGGTGCCCTCCTTTAAGGAGAGGCTCTGATTCTGTGCCTCATTTTGATGCACGCCTTAGGTTTAGATGTGCGTGTTCTTCATCACTAGAGCTACAAGTCTTCGAGCATCTTTTTAATTCAAATGTTCCTTTTGCATTTTTCATTATCCTAATTGTCTGCATAAACAAACTCGGTTTGTAATTTGTACGTATCACATACAAGAAGAGTATATGTTCCCATGTTGGGTCGAAATTATTAGGTCATGGAGGCACAACCTATTTGACATTACTAAAGTTGAAACCCCTTGTATATATTGTCAAAGTCAGTTGACCAGTTTCTTAAACTAATAAATAACTCTTACCACTTTTGTGGCACTTGCATGTGTTTCTAAACTTGGCGATCAAAGCATATAATTTTTATTTTATATCAGAGGTACATTTTTTTCCAAAAAAAAAGCATCAAAATCAAACTCAATTATGATATATTTCCTAATCATAATTAAATATATTTACTTGGAATAGGACTTTTTCTACTCCATTTTTAATTTATGACTTCATTATCTTTGTTGTTCACCAAAGGTCATGTCCCAAGCAGGACCCAGGAATTTTTTAAAGAATGTGCAATTTTAAAAGGCTAAAAACTCGTTGTGGATTGAACATCTAAGACTTTTTACCTAAATTGACCTTATATCCCTTCATGCATGCATTCATATCATACAAGTGTTGGAGATATTAAAATATTTGTTTTAAAATTCATTAAATAAAAAAGTTTAAAAAAAAAAAAAGGTTTTCACTGCTTTTTCATAATCATTTGCATTAAAAGTTGCCTCCATGCTTCCAATATCTTGTTGATGCGCACCAAGGGGGATGTCCCAAGTGCCTAAGAACATCATATCAAAATAATATTTTACCTTGGAAATTATTTTATTTCTGAAGCACTTTATATCTAATGGAAGAGTTATTTTAAAAAAAAATTATTTTGCATTGAAAATTGAGGATTTCATATTTGGACACTTAAGACTTCTTTGGCTAGACGTATTTTCACTAAGATTTTGTCTTTTGGCGGCATATTCGTTCATTGGCTTTTGATATAAAGTCAAGTCTACTATGTGGAATATGTTCACATCATTTAGTTGGATGTTACGTATATAACCATGAAATTAAGGAGGGGTCAGTATTCTGGGGGGTTTCGAACCCAAAATCGCTGGGTGATGAGGCGAGTGTCTTGACCACTTACAGTGCCCATGCTCGCATTAAACAGAAGAAATTGCTACTCATATAATATTTCCGTAAATTTAATCGTTTGGCAATAAAGGAAATTGGATTAATTGAAGAATTGTATCTGATACAACAATTTTTCCATTGAGAACATAAAATCTCTTGCTTAACATTTTATCTAAAACTATAATCCTTCCCATATATATATATTATGAATCGAATAATTAGATTTGGATGATCAAGCATTAATACACACTATTTAAACAGACTATTAATAATTTCACCTCAAAAACCTTGCAAAAAAAACATCAAATAATTGAAGAATTAATTATGTAAAAGTAGTGCAGCTGAGCTGATCAGTGCTGATGATTTCCACGTCATCTTAGGGAGTGTATCCCAGTTAATCTCAGACCGTTGGACCATCCATGATGAGATAAATATCAAAGCTAGCCCATGTGATTAGCAGCAGTCGATGGCGATGCCTGTGTAGAGCAGTTCTACTGACAATTTTGTACTACATACCTCCTTTATCATTTAATATGGCTGCCTTTTCTCGACGCTGGCTTTCATACTTGCTATAATTCGTATTTCTCATAATTGGACAATCATTAATCCCAAGGTTTGTGTGTTTAACATTGTGGTTATGAACTTTGACACTGGAAGTTTTCCTCTTATAAACTTGTAATTGCATTTTAGTTATCATCTAATGTTTGATTGGTTTAAATTACGAAACTATATGTTTTCGCGATCATATAAGAATGTGAATCATAAACTCGACAATGTATAATTTATTGCGTTTTGACGTGCTAATGATATAATTAGAAGACCTAACTTAAAGGATTACATGATTTGAACTTCCACCATTTCTCAAGTCTCCCGATTTTTTGCAAATAATCCTTCGTTTTCCTGGTTTTGTTGTTGGTTTTGAGATTAAGTGAAGCGTTAAACGAAAGAAATAATACAAGGAAGGGTATGGGGACGTAGTGTACAGAAGAATCTCAGTCTTTTCGTGTTTCTGAGTCGTGTGCAGTCTGAGATGTTCAGAGAGCCTCAGATCTGATAGCTTGCTTTTGAAGCAGCAGAACGTTCCATCCATGCATATGCACAATAATAATATCAACAAACAACTAAATCAATAATTATAATTTACAATTTTTTTTTAAAAAAGAAAAGGGTGCACGAGTGGCCCATAAACCACGCTGATCAGGTGCTGCAGCCTACACCTACCCAATCTCTCTTCTTATTATAGCCATTGGCTACCTGTGGGACCAGCTGACGTGGCACCATCAAGGACTGAATGATTGGGTGCTCTCGTTTGGTGATGAGCTAGCCCATGGCCCTATGGACCTCGGGGAGGGACTGTGATAGCAGAAAAACTTAGTTACAACAACTATAACAAAATTATTACTCGTATCTTAGTGATATTAATCAGGAATAACAAAATAGTAATATCTCTTATTTTATGCAAGTGTTTCCCAAGTGTATATGCGAGGGAGGAAGAGGGAGACCCTTTTGCCTAGACAAAAAATTGGGGGAGGTGGGGGTCCCACTGATGTAGCTGGCAATCACATCTGTGATGGCTGGATCGGTGATGGACGGACAGGATTGATGGATGGATGAGGACATTTCAAAGGGGGAGACAGACAAACACACAAGGAAGGCAGAGAGAGAGAGAGAGAGAGAAAATAAAAGGACCTCTTTACTTTTCTCATTGATTCTTTTAGGCTCTAGCTACATGAAATAGCATAGGATTATCCAACTTGTGCATGTAAATCTCAAAAGGGGTTGAGCCCAAAAGCATGAAAGTCCTCCTCCTTTTTTTTCTCTTTTTTCAATCTTTGCTTTTTTGGTAGAGATCTGATTGCTCAGATTTGAATCTCATAAAGCATGTCAACTATAGATATATATTTTTTTGGTGGATTTAGAATTTAGATGCATGCATGTACCATTTTCAAAATTGTTTTTGAGCTTGAGGATTTTTATTATTATTATTATTATTATTATTATTATTTGTTTTTGAATTTAGGGTTCTTAAGGGTAGTCTAGTGCCCTAGTTTTGTAAGGTTGTAGAGGGAGAGTGTCCTAGCTCTTTAATTGTTCCTATTTCACTTACCCTTTGTCACATCACTCATCAGAATCTGTAGGCCTTTTAAAGGTCCAGTTTTCAGGCAAATATTTAGAAAATTAAAATTATTATCCGAATGATGTCGGCCCTTCATGTGGTTAATAAACTGACATCCATGGCCATCCACCGTACAGCATTGGTTTCAGTAAGCTATTTAGGTACCATAAAATATTGCAAATGTACATTCTTTTCTGAATAAATAAATCACACCCTTGGGCACAAAGAAAAATAAGTGGCCTTCATATTTTTGGTTGAATCCTATACTTTAGGTGACAATTACTCACATGATAAGTTGTAAATTACACAAACATCTCACGCATATGAACGATAAACTTATAATCTCATATATCACGATAAACTAATTTCATATGAATAAGTAATTAAAATATGTTATAAGTTTGGCTATTACTAAACACGAACACAAAATGACATGACAGAATACGACCGTGTTGCGGCCACCTATAGAGCAAATGGGAAGAACTTTAACTTGTATAAACTGTTTAATTAAGTTAATGATGTTACATCTACTTGTATTTTCAAGATGAAACACTGTATAAGCACAGCATGCAAACTATATACGGCATACAATAGGTATGTGTCGACTTCCGATTGGAGCAAGGGAGAATCCATAACAGATGTTATAGCTGACAGTAAAGCTAGTTTGATCCAATGAAAGCATCTCCCATGACTAAAACTCAGCTGCTCAACGTGGTCGTGACCGCACGAGAAGAAATGTTGTTCATCAAAATCAAATGTGGGGCAAGTTTGATGATAGCTGTGGGGCCCCATTGCATGATAATGAAAGGTGTTGATAAGGATTGTTGAATAATTACAGCAAGAAAGAAAAGGATAATGTGACATGAAAAAGTGGTAATTAGGGAAGGTCATTGGGTTAGGGAGAGGAAAGATTAGTCAAAGTAGGGTTTAATTAGATGGCCGGAAAACATATCGGAGAGGGCATA